ATGTTGCGAAGTCCTGAGCACGCCCTAAAGTGGCACCAGCCGAGGCAAGAGTTGCACTTGACTGATGTCACGTAACGGTATATTCTGGACAGACAAACAGAGCAGATTGTCGGAGGGACTAGGAGTTGCCGGCGGGGGTGTGAGGGTGCTATTGTGTTTGTTTTTGTGTCTATTGTTGTGTTGTGTTGGGGTGTGGGTGTGTTCTGCCCAGGCGGGTGGTGGTTTGCCGTGGAGACGGTCCGGTTCGCACAGCATGGGGCCACGAACGACGTGGTCCATTGCCGGTGCGTACGCAGGCCCGAGCAGTTACGNACCATTATTTCGCTCGCGATCTCGACGGTGCACGTTGTATCCGGCGCAATTCAACAGGNCTAAACCTCCTCCATTATTTCGCTCGCGATCTCGGTGCACGTTGTATCCGGCGCAATTCAACAGGGTTGAATTGCCGTGCAACTTCGTCTCTTGGACCGGAGCTATTAATATTCCATGCCTTCCCATAAAGACAGTTATCTCCTCGATCTTGCTCTGGAGTCCATTACAGTTAAATTGTAGCACCTTTGTGTGCCTTGGGAGACCGATTGTGATGTGTGGTGTTAAAGAGTTGTGTTGCCTGCCGGCCCCCTGCTGTACGTGCTGCAAAAGGGGGTGCTGCCTTGTGGTGGTGGTTGGCGGCGTCGCGGGGGAGGGATGCGACGGGGCAGCACAGCAGGGGCCCACATAGTCACTCGTCCAATCTCGCGTGTTGCGAAGTCCTGAGCATGCCCTAAAGTGGCACCAGCCGAGGCAGGAGTTGCACTTGACTGATGTCACGTTACGGTATATTCTGGACTGACAAACAGAGCAGATTGTCGGAGGGACTAGGAGTTGCCGGCGGCGGTGTGTGGGTGCTATTGTGTTTGTTTGTGTGTCTATTGTTGTGTTGTGTTGGGGTGTGGGTGTGTTGATTGTGTGCTGCCCAGGCGGGTGGTGGTTTGCCGTGGAGACGGTCCGGTTCGCACAGCATGGGGCCACGAACGACGTGGTCCATTGCCGGTGCGTACGCAGGCCCGAGCAGTTACGGAGGTGACTCCACCCGTCACAGGCATTGCACCTGACCTAGGTGGAGTTTGTATGCAGTCGTCTCTGGCATACGCAGCAGGTGTAGATTTCTGGGTTTGACTCTATGGCAGCCCTGAGCAGAAGGGTGCGGAGAAGGTGTAGCCCTAGGATCGAGCAACGTTTGATGGATTTCGCCGACCTAAACGGGGNGCTAAACGGGGTTAGATCGCCGAAACAACAGCCCTTGGTCGGGTAAAACCCGAGTCATTCCGGTACGTAGAACCGGCTGTCGTGAGAATGGGTAACACTGTTTTATTAAAAGTCTTTAAAGAATTAAAAATATTTATCTCTCTGACAATTATTATGGAAGAACTTTTATAATATCAGTCCTTGAATAATAATATATATGATTGGAAAAAATGTGTATCTTAATATAGTAATTATTAATTGATTGATTGAATAAAAGTTATGTCTCTGGTACTAGTATTTAACCTAGTCCCACTTTTTACCAGAGGTGTGAACCTCCAAAGCAATCAGCACAGGATAGTACAGTAACATAGCGAAGAACATGACAACATGGGATCAGTTGGGGCTTAGTTTGGCTATGTAAGTCCTCGACTGGTCCCAAACTACTCCCCAACAAGTTCCAAACTGTTTCCGAACTGGTCCATAACTAGTCCCGAAGGGGCCTTCAACTAGTTCCGAAGTAATCCCGAAATGGTCCTGAACAGACCCCGTGCTTTAAAAGACTTAAAAAAAATTTCGCACTCATATCAATAGACTTTTATAATATTAAGGGTCAAAAAAGGAGTATTTTAAGACTTAAAAATATGTATATCAATGATTATTATTATGACAAGGCCACGGATGCGCGAGGCTTGGCCACGCGCTGAATGTATGCATATGTATGTACATTTACGTATTTTTTGAGACAGAAATCATATCATGTACTTCGTTTATTATATACATAAAAAATTTTCTCTAAATCCGTTCAGTAGCGTGGTTAAAATATCTCGCTTTTCATTTATACTATGTATAGAAGATAGTAATTTTAAATAGGTGGCAACCCTACTCAAAAAACTTAAGAGTTTTTGTACATGCGAAGGCCATGCACTGCCATTTGGTATCTTATTTTTTTATCCGACGAACGGTGAAGATCTTATAGTTTTTAAACAGGTGGCAACCCTACTCAAAAAACTTAAGAGTTTTTGTACATGCGAAGGCCATGCACTGCCATTTGGTATCTTATTTTTTTATCCGACGAACGGTGAAGATCTTATAGTTTTTAAACAGGTGGCAACCCTACTCAGAAAAATAATACATTATTACACATCCAGAGGCTAAGTCTTTTCGTTTGACAGTGACGGTACAGAACTGATGCCTACGCTTATTATGATTGAATATGGTCATTTTATTAAATATGGCAACCCTATTCAAACAAAAATATTATTGCTTTCTAGAGCCCAATCCCTTTCATTTGACAACTCAANCTGAATATGGTCATTTTATTAAATATGGCAACCCTATTAAAAAAAAAATATTATTGCTTTCTAGAGCCCAATCCCTTTCATTTGACAACTCAACTTTTGTAATAAAACGAACGATGCGAATGTTATAGTTTTTTAGACAGGTGGCAACCTTATTAAAATTCTAAGTAAAAAAAATCATTCTCCTGTCGATACAGAGTATATTATAGAAAATCTCGTCAAAATCCGTTCAGTAGGTTTCGAGATTACTATGCTACTACTATACTATGTATATAGAAGTCTTAAAATATTAGTCATCGATGACTTAAAAAAAATTTCTCACACATAATTAGTATCAAAAGACTTTTATGATGCCTTTGAAAATTTTGATGACTTTTTTAATACTCCACCATGAAATAATTATTATTCTGGGTCTCTGACTAGTACAGGACCGCGCCGCCTTGTAACCAACACTAGTAACCAAAATGTTTCAAATATATGGAGAAAACATGGTTACATTAACATTGCGATGTCATTAAACCTGCCCACTTCTGGGGCCACCACTGTATAACATGGGACCACCTAGACAACTACTCCTTTGGACCATGGCACATTCGGCAAACGAATCATATTGCCGATGGGCCACGAAGAGATACACATATATCAGTTCTTTACGTTTGAAGTGTCTAGGTCAGGCAAAACAAGGTCCTTTTGCGCATACTTTAAAACTACTTCCCAGTGGAGTCCACCTGGTGCTCAAATTTTTGCAGGGAAATTCTTTGAGTCATACATATGTATTCATTTGATATCTACTCAAAATTTTGATATTGATAATTATTAAGCCTCATTGCGTAAGTCGTAAATTAGGCTAAATTGTAAGACACGACAACATTGGCATTGTCTACTGTCGTGCTGAAATAAGTAAAAGACGAAATTCATCGAAAACTATGCAGTGCTGCCAAGTTTTTCCGTTTTAATACACTAGTCAGGTCGANGGTCTACTGTCGTGATGAAATAAGTAAAAGACGAAAATCGTCGAAAACTATGCAGTGCTGCCAACTTTTTCCGTTTTAATACACTAGTCAGGTCGAAATTTAGGCAATGACATGAAATTTCTCGAAAAACGACTTGCATTCGACAAAACTCTCGCAAGAGGCTGATTGTTAACTAATACATATTTACGTTTTTAAATTAAAAAAAAAAAATTCTTTTATTATTATGTGAAAAGCCGTTTGGTGTTTAAATAAATCTAAATCTAAATAGCGCACATGCAAAATAAATGCATTTAAAAAGTCTTTAGTACCCACTTACATATATAAATATGTACTTACATTCATTCGTATAAAATTGACATCAGTCAAATAATGTAGGNTGCTAAAAAAAATTTCTTTTATTATTATGTGAAAAGACGATTGGCGTTTAAATAAATCTAAATCTAAATAGCGCACATGCAAAATAAATGCATTTAAAAAGTCTTTAGTACCCACTTACATATATAAATATGTACTTACATTCATTCGTATAAAATTGACATCAGTCAAATAATGTAGGATATTAAACACGATGTTGCCGCGAGAGCACTCGGCCGGAGCTGTACAGGGACTGAATTCGCTGCAGTCGTTACTAAGTTTCAAATCATGATAATACTCAAAACACATCACCAATAAGTTTTGGAGCAATACAATATCATCAGACTGAAATCGAGTAAGAAATTAAAATAATTTGCCACAAATTAAATAATGATATATGTATGTACATACATTCAAATCAAAGCATGAGCTCTTATTGACCAGAAGTGCAGCGTAATTTGGTATTGACCATGGTCGACAACATGTGTCAGTGAGCTCTTCTTTCTGACAAAATTCGCCATAGCTAGGGACAGCGATAATTTGATTCTGTAATTGACACATTGACAACAGTCCATTAAGGTCAAAAAGTGAGTCTGTTGCATTAGGGCCTATACGCACAACAACAAAATGAGAGTAATCGTTAGATGGCGAGTCACAAAAATAACCATCCACATGGGGACCGTCTACACCCCAACTAGGTGGCACTGGAGCCTGTTTCAGTATATTCCAGGTACTCTTTTTTATTTGCACCTTTTCGCGGTGGTAATCTTCATCTATGGATGTCGTGTTACGTCCATACTCAAAACGTTCGCTCCGATTAGACCTTTCCATGGAGGAAAACGAATCATTTGTAATTTCATAATCGCGAAAAACACCGCTATCACCGTGCCATTGTGTTGGTAAGAGATCACTCCCATTATTTTTATGTGTTATGTTGAATTCATTCTTGAGAAATGAAACTTTTTTACTCAAATGTAATTCTTTATTTTTGTGATGTTTCGGATTTTTGGGTCTTTTCTGACTCTTGCGTTTGTGCGCTCGATTATGAAGTTGGTGTTTCCACTTCTTATTCACGTGATGATGGCTAATAGCATTGTAATCTCGCAAATCATTGGGATCCGTTACAAGGCTTCCAAACGGGCCCGTTTCCTGTATCAGATTATTCCAAGCGGTTAGACGTTTTCCTAATACAGTGCCTCGTGTTTCAAAGCCCTGAAAAAAATAAAAGTGTACCACAGATTGTAAAAGCATTTGAGTACAAGATGAATAGTAAGCAGAGTTTAAGACCAATAATGCATATGACACAAACCGAAGTAATGCACACATGCACAGTTTCGACTCAAAACCGAAATAATGCATATGACAAAAACCGAAATAGTGCATACACGAAAACGAACTTATTTCTACGTAGGTATATAGGTATTCGGCCGCGCTTAGGTATTATAACCCTTACTAAATAGAATTTTCTTTCTTTGCCCTTTTAGAACTTCTTTCTGCGTAGGCGGCCTTCGTCCGCGCTTAGGGATTATAACTCTTACTAAGTAGAATTCTCCTTTCTGTGTTGCCGGAAAAGGGGACCGGAAGTAGTTTTGCGCAGAATTTCTCTGCGTAGGCGGCCTCCGGCCGCGCTTAAGGATTATATCCCTCACTAAGTACAATTCTGCTTTCTATGTTGCTGGAAAAGGGCCGGAAGCATTTTGCGCAGATCTTCTTTCTTTTATTTTTGATAACAAACAAATTCATTGAACCATAAATTGAACATCAAGAATTTAAACAAGTATAAAAACAAGGCGAATTTATATAAGGTGGTGTTACTAGGTTAATTCCTTATCTTTTTGGACTAAAATCTGAAACATCACACAAGCACAAGCACAATAAACACTTACTATATCAATTATTTTTTGCCTCCTTCCAATTTCAATTCACTTTTCTTACTTTTTAGATTATTCTCACTTTTTGCGTATTCTTTAATTTTCGTTAATTTAAATTCAGTTGAGTTTGACACTTTTCAGGATTTTGCCANCTGACTATTTCTGGGAGATAAGGAACGCTCCTACTAGCTCAGCTGATTTTGTGTATGTGTTTCGCCGCGCGGCTTCCGATATCAAATTGAAAAATTTTGTTTGAATTTCAACACATACTCTTACAGATTTTGACAGTTTATGCCGCCAAAGCAAAAACAANTATTTCTGGGAGATAAGGAACGCTCCTACTAGCACAGCTGATTTTGTGTATGTGTTTCGCCGCACGGCTTCCGATATCAAATTGAAAAATTTTGTTTGAATTTCAACACATACTATTACAGATTTTGACAGTTTATGCCGCCAAAGCAAAAACAAAATACATGTAAATTTTTGTTTTTGTACTCCTGCTATCACCTAACATACAGGTAAAATACCCTACATATACTCCCCCTCTACAGGTAAAATACCCTACAATGCATACTTTCGTTTTAAAAGCGAAATAATGCATATGAAAACAAACGAAGTAATGGATACAAGCACAGTTTCGGTTGAAACCGTAATAATGTCGAAGTGAACAGTTTCCATATGCGCAATTTCGGTGCCCCCTTCAATTTCATATTGAACAGGTAATATCAGCAGAGTAGCTAATTTAATTATAATTTTTACCAGCAATCACCCGGCTTTCCTGGAGGAACTTTAAAAATTAATTTCGCGTTGTTGACATAACATATAAAGGGAAACAAATAACCTAAAGTTTTAATTCGTCTTTTAAAGCCCCCTTTACAACCATTTATAGCAATTTAAAAAAATAAATTTGTATGGATGGCAGAGCTATTATCCCAACTTTCTTGATTTCCAGTGTATTGAAGGTAGAATACGAGGAATATTACTTTTTACAGAAGTTTATTGCATTAAATTTTCAAGCAAGAAATATATGAAGGAATAGTATAAACGGTGTGGTACCGTGTAGATAATAAGGCTTGGCCATCAAAATATGTAATAAATACTAAAAAAAAATTTTAATGCTACATACATATGTGCCATAATGTAATGTACATAAATGTACACAGCATTAAGTTAATAGATCCAAGTAAAATTTGAGAAGTATTCTTGCAACTGTACGATGATTCTTGCTGAATGCGGTTTTATAAATAAATCATTAGTTCGGTTTATAGAGTTCTGACTGTATATATGATGTATGGAAAGGGCATCTCTCATATCGTCGCTGAAATGCAAAAAAAAACACAACTAACTATTTTTATGTATTGCATAAAAAGATGTGGGGACTTATAACTCGATGAAATGCATCATTATCAATCAAAACGCGAATTTTGGATTTTTAGTAAGCTATGTATTTCAGCGACGATGTGCGTAACGCCCTTACGCTCCATACTATACTAGCGATATGTATCAGGGTCGACAACTATTTTTAATACTACCAAAACTGTTTGATAATAACATTAGTGGAATTTAGTAGACTCTGTTCTAACATTTTCAAAACTTATTTATTACTTTTGCATATTTTTGTACAAAAGAAAGTTTGCGAAAATGCAAAATAAGAAAAACAATTTTTTAATAGCCTAAAAGCTATTTCGAAAATTTGTAATTTGGAATTTGTAAATTATAAATAATAAATTTAGCCATCTAAAAATAAATTGCCTCCTATGTAAACTTTGTTCGGAAAAGGCCTATTACTTAACTATGTCTGTCTTATTTTTGCAAGCTCAAATCTTTCATATTTTTGTTGTTGCATACAAATTCCCCAGTTTTTGGGGAGTGATATAAATCTGGATCGTTACGGTTACTTAGACCCGACTGTCGTGGTGACGAATCTTTCATATTCGTTTGCATCAGTGGCGGATTTACGAAGGTGGTTCTCGGGTTCAAAATGAGCTTTCTGGCAATGCTGTTAAATCTGGTCAAAGAGGTTTTTGAAATTTTNGGACTTATAACTCGATGAAATGCATCATTATCAATCAAAACGCGAATTTCGGATTTTTAGTAAGCTATGTATTTCAGCGACGATGTGCGTAACGCCCTTACGCTCCATACTATACTAGCGATATGTATCAGGGTCGACAACTATTTTTAATACTACCAAAACTGTTTGATAATAACATTAGTGGAATTTAGTAGACTCTGTTCTAACATTTTCAAAACTTATTTATTACTTTTGCATATTTTTGTACAAAAGAAAGTTTGCGAAAATGCAAAATAAGAAAAACAATTTTTTAATAGCCTAAAAGCTATTTCGAAAATTTGTAATTTGGAATTTGTAAATTATAAATAATAAATTTAGCCATCTAAAAATAAATTGCCTCCTATGTAAACTTTGTTCGGAAAAGGCCTATTACTTAACTATGTTTGTCTTATTTTTGCAAGCTCAAATCTTTCATATTTTTGTTGTTGCATACAAATTCCCCAGTTTTTGGGGAGTGATACTGGAGTGACAGTCCTTGGTCAGATATAAATCTGGATCGTTACGGTTACTTAGACCCGACTGTCGTGGTGACGAATCTTTCATATTCGTTTGCATCAGTGGCGGATTTACGAAGGTGGTTCTCAGGTTCAAAATGAGCTTTCTGGCAATGCTGTTAAATCTGGTCAAAGAGGTTTTTGAAATTTTGACCATCCGCTCGTCTTAACCTCCGATTTCAAACTTATTTTCGGAAGGATTTAGAACACTTTCATAAGCTTCATCAAATTTCTTGCGTTTATAAAAGTTGTAGTCATTTTTGGGGATCAAAACACTGAACAGATTTGTTTTTGATAAAATGACTCTGAAGATGAGTTATGCTCCCAGAGTCAACGTCGCATCTATTTCTTTGGCTTTTATTGGTGTGTGGTTTCCTGATATCAATGTCGTATTCTGTGCATACTTCGCTCTTATTTTCGAAAAGTTCGTGAAAATGATTTTCAGCATTTTATTTACTTGTTTATTTATTTAATCAAATGGAATACAAATCCTTACTGACTACAAAACAAAGAGCTTAAACACTACCTAAAATAATTTAGCCACATGTTTCGAAATTCCTGCATGGCATCTTTTGCAAAGTTCATTTGCTTACTCAAAGGCAAGACGTTGGAGTGCACCGACACACATTTTTAACACATATCTAAAGTAGAAATAAAAAGCAGCCAGGAACTGAAGTTTTTGTTTGTGGTTTTTCCAACTTGCTAAAACTCCTTTCTAAAGACACTTTACATGCGAGGTGTAACGGCTCCCCCAATCACTTTTAGAAATTCTACAATTTGACAGACTTTTCAAAAGTACTTGCACTTGCAACGTCTAACAGCTGCTTTAGATGGCCTTATTTCACATTCACACGATAGTCGGGTCTACGTAACCGAAAGGGCCCAGATTTATATCTGGCCAAGGACTGTTACTCCAGGAACACTCCCCAAACACTCTTTGGGGGAATTTGTATGCTGTTACAACAACAACATGGCCTTATTTCTACATACATATATAGGTTGTCCAGACAACCCGCCTACCCCTCGTATAGCCAACAAAATCGGGGATGCTCTATCTTTTGGTGGTATTATTGACTTTCGGTTTGGGTTAAACTGATCGGAAGTCCATTTTTTAATTAGACATACATAGGTACATGTTTTTAAAACAGATTAGGATTCTGAGGATAAAAATAAGTTACGCTTGTTTGAAACTTTTTTCTCAATAGTGCCGTTTTCAGCCTTTAAATAACCTTCGAACTTTTACTCGTAATGGACTTCTTAAATGGGTGAAAATCATTCAGGTTCTGCAACTCACTTCCGGGAGAATTCAAAGTGGCTTTTGTTGAATTTCACTTGGAATTTTTTATTGGAAAACGAAAAGATATGAATTACTACCAAATCGGGGATGTTCTATCTATTGGTCTCGACCAGAAGTGCGTGAAACTAGCCGAAAGTGATTTTTTTTAATGGACATATGTACATACATACATATGTACATGGTTTATTTAGCGAAGAATGTTATTTTCAAGTTCTGCCTGGAGCATAGTCCATGAGTCTTGGTTCAAAGTCGTAAGGAGTACATATGAATGTATTTACATACATTATTCTTAACAAAACTTGTGCATATGTGAGTACATACATATGTACATGCATACATATAATAAACATACATATGTACATACATACCTAAATATGTATACACATATTTAAGTACATGTGCAAGTCCAATGTAAAAACATTCATTTAGGTTTAAGTTAAGCAATGATGACATACCAATGTGGGATCGGTGAAATCAGGTGCTGTATTCATGGTCAAGGACACTGTAATGCAAGCTGTACACAAAACCGCCACGGCCAGGACCATTAGATAAGGCCGCCGCACTAAGAAGTTATAGTACCAATGCATATACATTCCCAACACAAAGGCCAAAAACAAATTCAATTCTCCTCCAGCTGTCAATCCACAGGATACAATTATTTATGTAACTTCCGTTAATTATATTAACATCCTTTGTGTGCAGTTGATATTGCAATTGTCGACTCGAGTTTCTTCAAAAACTGTTTTTTTTTTGTAGTCTATAGGACTGAGCTCGTTACCCAGCGTTAGCTTTTTTTATAAAATAATGGTACTCCTTTTATTAATTCATACTTTATATGCTTCGCACACTTTTCACTAAATATGAATATACCTATAATAATTGCAAATTTATATGGAAAACGACTACAGGTATTTACTAAGCATTTTACTAAGCAAATAATGCGAGGATAATGACCAGTGTGCGGACTACCGCGAATTCATATTACAACAAACACACTAGCTTTGTTTCTCAACTGATAATTATCACAAATTATCACTAATTTCTGCTGCAAAGCGTTTCTTAACCCAAAAAACTAGCAGAAACTAGCAGCTCTCGATCTTACGCTCTTCTTTTTTTGGCTTTCCTGATAATTTCTGCTAGTAAAATTTTTACTAGCAGAAACTAGCAGCTGTCAAAATGGATAAACAAAAATTCGGGTCAAATACTTTCAATATTCAAATACACCTATCAGCTGATTACTTGCTAGTTTTACGTTTCTTTACTTTTTTGTTATTTCGCTCTCTGTGAGCTTAATTCTTTGAATTTTCTCATTCTTCTTCTTCCTGATAATTATTTGCTAGAAAAGAAAAGAAACAAACCTACAATTGGGTTTTGATAGGCTAGTCTCCCCTGAACCGTTTTTTTTTTCCAAATTTTTGGCCTATGTGCGCTTTTATTCGAAACCTAAATGTTTCGGTACCGAGTATCGAGAGTATTGGATACTTAAAAGTATTAACTCAGCACGTCACTACTGCTGTCATCTCGACTGTGACGTCAGCAAAATAGCTTATTCTGTCAAATTCACTGAGAGCCGATTAGCGCTGTTGCCATCGGCGCCACCTTATGTACTCACAATGTAAAAGGTGACGTGTTTGTTATAGATATGTTTATATCGCATGTGTTTCATTATATATAATAACTTTTACAGAAAACTAGAGCTTAAAGCCCTGTATGCAGCTCTCAAGAAAACGGTCAAGAAAAAATTGCCATTATTTCGCGTGTGTGTCCAAGAAATTTTGACATTTTTGATACCTCACAGCCTGTTGCCTCACTCTTTCCGTAAGAAATAATGGAACGGGTATATACATGATTCAATAATACAAGGTTCGATAAACTGACAGTTGTCTCTCTTGCACCGCTCCCTTAGCAGCAGCACCGTGTTGCTTCTTTGCAAATTTCCTTGGAAAAAGTGTAGCTTTGGTGTGATATAGAAGTATAAGCTTTTGTGCAATATGCTTATTTGTATATGCATATGAAGCATATTTAACTGATAAAAACATAAGTTGTTTTTAAATTGGATGTTTACATCAATCATATAGTAGTTTTATTTGAATTTTGAGCCATTTTGCAGTTTTATACAGCTAAATAGCACATAAATTAGGTAATTCACGGAGCTATATCAATATTACGTTCAATATTTCGTTTAAAATGTCAGATTTCCTGCAAGTACATTAGAATTTACAAAGGGAATATCACTACTAATTGCGTACTTTCCTACTACAATTTTCGCACCAAGAGATTTCATTCTTCCCCTTTCTCCGTCCTTCGTAAAGGCAACCTTTTGTAAGGGAGTGTCAAACCGCGGCTGTCAATAATTATCTAACCTTGTATTATTGAATCATGCATGGGTTCAAGGTACTAAAAATGTCAGTTCTAATAAAACATCGATGCATGCAAGCAAAACATCGATAGTTTCGATGCATCGATGTTTTTTCGACATTACTACACTTCTGATTTTAAACAGCTGATGATCATTTGGAGCGAGCGGCGGGTTATTTAATAGTGCAATTGGAATTAATTTTCAATGGATATTTGGCTGTAATGCTGCGTCAACTTTCAAACTCAATAAGAAGGCAATTGAAAACTAATGGGAACTCAGCTAAACTACTTGCTGCCATATCGTCAACAGGGCATCCTAATTGGTTTTATTGCACAAAAGCTACCGGCGGAAATGGAGGCCAAAGGAATAACAATGATAGTGCACGGGACGAAAAGCGTAAAATACGCAAAGCATCAGTTCCAGCAGTCCAAAATCCGTTTGCCAACGTAACAAACAAAACAAAGGAGTCTTACTTGACTATGGTTGAAATATTCGAAGATCGAGACGTTCATCGTCGCAATCATGTAGAGTTTATTTATGCTGCTCTCCGCAACATGGCTGATTTTGGGGTGGAGCACGATATAGAAGTGTACAAAGCGTTGATCAACGTTATGCCCAAGGGAAAGTTTATACCTACCAATGTTTTTCAGGCTGAATTCATGCACTACCCTAAACAACAACAGTGCATTATAGATTTGTTAGAACAAATGGAAGATTTAGGTGTGATGCCTGACTATGAAATGGAGGCAATGTTGTTGAATATATTCGGACGACGGGGGCATCCATTACGTAAGTACTGGCGTATGATGTATTGGATGCCCAAATTTAAGAATTTATCGCCGTGGCCACTGCCAAATCCAATGCCAGATGATACACTAGAGATAGCCAAGATGGCAATTGAACGTATGTGTACAGTAGACTTACGGTCCAAAGTTTCTGTCTATGAAACTACAATTGTCAGAGATGCCGTCGATGAAACGTGGATTGTAAGTGGGATGAGTGCGGAACAGTCGCATCTTTTACGTGTTCATCCCCGTCACAAAGCGGTTTATATAGAAGGCCCGTTTTTAATTTGGTTGCGAAATCGCTCTATTAACTACTTCACTCTACGAGCTGATCCAGATCTTGAATTTCTTCAAAGCCTAAAACAAAATGAACATGAAGATCAGGACGGTATGTAAATATCTATATGCAAGAATTATTTTTTATGAGTTAAATACATCCATAAGCATATCTGATTGACTTAAAAATCTGAATTTACTAGATGTTTCCCGATTAAGGACGCCGGTTCTCGGTGCAGCAATGCCGCGAACACAGAATCAAGTTGGTAAAAATCGTTCAGTTCATCAACAAGAAGATGGTACTATATTCGCAATTTGTGCAACTGGAACCTCAACAAAAGACTCATTACTATCCTGGATACGACTGTTGGAGAATAACGGGAATCCAACGCTTGGTGAAATACCTGTATTATTCAGGGTTTCATCTGCTATTGCTGCGAAAGCAATTGAGATAGAAAGCAACACGACGAAATCGGGTAAGAAATTTTGACCATCCGCTCGTCTTAACCTCCGATTTCAAACTTATTTTCGGAAGGATTTAGAACACTTTCATAAGCTTCATCAAATTTCTTGCGTTTATAAAAGTTGTAGTCATTTTTGGGGATCAAAACACTGAACAGATTTGTTTTTGATAAAATGACTCTGAAGATGAGTTATGCTCCCAGAGTCAACGTCGCATCTATTTCTTTGGCTTTTATTGGTGTGTGGTTTCCTGATATCAATGTCGTATTCTGTGCATACTTCGCTCTTATTTTCGAAAAATGATTTTCAGCATTTTATTTACTTGTTTATTTATTTAATCAAATGGAATACAAATCCTTACTGACTACAAAACAAAGAGCTTAAACACTACCTAAAATAATTTAGCCACATGTTTCGAAATTCCTGCATGGCATCTTTTGCAAAGTTCATTTGCTTACTCAAAGGCAAGACGTTGGAGTGCACCGACACACATTTTTAACACATATCTAAAGTAGAAATAAAAAGCAGCCAGGAACTGAAGTTTTTGTTTGTGGTTTTTCCAACTTGCTAAAACTCCTTTCTAAAGACACTTTACATGCGAGGTGTAACGGCTCCCCCAATCACTTTTAGAAATTCTACAATTTGACAGACTTTTCAAAAGTACTTGCACTTGCAACGTCTAACAGCTGCTTTAGATGGCCTTATTTCACATTCACACGATAGTCGGGTCTACGTAACCGAAAGGGCCCAGATTTATATCTGGCCAAGGACTGTTACTCCAGGAACACTCCCCAAACACTCTTTGGGGGAATTTGTATGCTGTTACAACAACAACATGGCCTTATTTCTACATACATATATAGGTTGTCCAGACAACCCGCCTACCCCTCGTATAGCCAACAAAATCGGGGATGCTCTATCTTTTGGTGGTATTATTGACTTTCGGTTTGGGTTAAACTGATCGGAAGTCCATTTTTTAATTAGACATACATAGGTACATGTTTTTAAAACAGATTAGGATTCTGAGGATAAAAATAAGTTACGCTTGTTTGAAACTTTTTTCTCAATAGTGCCGTTTTCAGCCTTTAAATAACCTTCGAACTTTTACTCGTAATGGACTTCTTAAATGGGTGAAAATCATTCAGGTTCTGCAACTCACTTCCGGGAGAATTCAAAGTGGCTTTTGTTGAATTTCACTTGGAATTTTTTATTGGAAAACGAAAAGATATGAATTACTACCAAATCGGGGATGTTCTATCTATTGGTCTCGACCAGAAGTGCGTGAAACTAGCCGAAAGTGATTTTTTTTAATGGACATATGTACATACATACATATGTACATGGTTTATTTAGCGAAGAATGTTATTTTCAAGTTCTGCCTGGAGCATAGTCCATGAGTCTTGGTTCAAAGTCGTAAGGAGTACATATGAATGTATTTACATACATTATTCTTAACAAAACTTGTGCATATGTGAGTACATACATATGTACATGCATACATATAATAAACATACATATGTACATACATACCTAAATATGTATACACATATTTAAGTACATGTGCAAGTCCAATGTAAAAACATTCATTTAGGTTTAAGTTAAGCAATGATGACATACCAATGTGGGATCGGTGAAATCAGGTGCTGTATTCATGGTCAAGGACACTGTAATGCAAGCTGTACACAAAACCGCCACGGCCAGGACCATTAGATAAGGCCGCCGCACTAAGAAGTTATAGTACCAATGCATATACATTCCCAACACAAAGGCCAAAAACAAATTCAATTCTCCTCCAGCTGTCAATCCACAGGATACAATTATTTATGTAACTTCCGTTAATTATATTAACATCCTTTGTGTGCAGTTGATATTGCAATTGTCGACTCGAGTTTCTTCAAAAACTGTTTTTTTTTTGTAGTCTATAGGACTGAGCTCGTTACCCAGCGTTAGCTTTTTTTATAAAATAATGGTACTCCTTTTATTAATTCATACTTTATATGCTTCGCACACTTTTCACTAAATATGAATATACCTATAATAATTGCAAATTTATATGGAAAACGACTACAGGTATTTACTAAGCATTTTACTAAGCAAATAATGCGAGGATAATGACCAGTGTGCGGACTACCGCGAATTCATATTACAACAAACACACTAGCTTTGTTTCTCAACTGATAATTATCACAAATTATCACTAATTTCTGCTGCAAAGCGTTTCTTAACCCAAAAAACTAGCAGAAACTAGCAGCTCTCGATCTTACGCTCTTCTTTTTTTGGCTTTCCTGATAATTTCTGCTAGTAAAATTTTTACTAGCAGAAACTAGCAGCTGTCAAAATGGATAAACAAAAATTCGGGTCAAATACTTTCAATATTCAAATACACCTATCAGCTGATTACTTGCTAGTTTTACGTTTCTTTACTTTTTTGTTATTTCGCTCTCTGTGAGCTTAATTCTTTGAATTTTCTCATTCTTCTTCTTCCTGATAATTATTTGCTAGAAAAGAAAAGAAACAAACCTACAATTGGGTTTTGATAGGCTAGTCTCCCCTGAACCGTTTTTTTTCCAGATTTTTGGCCTATGTGCGCTTTTATTCGAAACCTAAATGTTTCGGTACCGAGTATCGAGAGTATTGGATACTTAAAAGTATTAACTCAGCACGTCACTACTGCTGTCATCTCGACTGTGACGTCAGCAAAATAGCTTATTCTGTCAAATTCACTGAGAGCCGATTAGCGCTGTTGCCATCGGCGCCACCTTATGTACTCACAATGTAAAAGGTGACGTGTTTGTTATAGATATGTTTATATCGCATGTGTTTCATTATATATAATAACTTTTACAGAAAACTAGAGCTTAAAGCCCTGTATGCAGCTCTCAAGAAAACGGTCAAGAAAAAATTGCCATTATTTCGCGTGTGTGTCCAAGAAATTTTGACATTTTTGATACCTCACAGCCTGTTGCCTCACTCTTTCCGTAAGAAATAATGGAACGGGTATATACATGATTCAATAATACAAGGTTCGATAAACTGACAGTTGTCTCTCTTGCACCGCTCCCTTAGCAGCAGCACCGTGTTGCTTCTTTGCAAATTTCCTTGGAAAAAGTGTAGCTTTGGTGTGATATAGAAGTATAAGCTTTTGTGCAATATGCTTATTTGTATATGCATATGAAGCATATTTAACTGATAAAAACATAAGTTGTTTTTAAATTGGATGTTTACATCAATCATATAGTAGTTTTATTTGAATTTTGAGCCATTTTGCAGTTTTATACAGCTAAATAGCACATAAATTAGGTAATTCACGGAGCTATATCAATATTACGTTCAATATT